AGAAAATCCCTTGCTAACAACAGTGTTTAAGTCTGCTGATGAACGGAAATTTTCTACAATTAGTACTGGTTATAAAATTCTGGCCTGGAGAGCCTCCTCCTCCTCCTCCTTCCCCTGTCCTGGCCTTTGGCAGCAGTTGTATAGAGCTAACTGCCTAGCCCACCCCCTAGTGACTTGCAAATGCCACTCAACAAAGCCCACCCACTGAGTCACAGTCACACTCCCCCCAAGTGTTTTTAAAAAGAATTTAAAAACTTACCCACTCAAGATGGCTGCCTGGAAACTGCTTTTCCCTCTTTCCTAGCAGGAACTGGCCTCAAAAGCCTCCTCCTCTGTCTCCTTTCCTGGCAGAAACTGCCTAGAAAGCCTCTTTCTCTTTCTCCTTTCTGTTAGAAACTGGCCTGGAGAGCCTCCTCCTCCTCCTTCCCCTGTCCTTGCCGAAACTGACCTGAAACTGGCCTCTGGCAGCAGTTGTATAGAGCTAACTGCCTAGTCCACCCCCTATTGACTTGCAAATGCCACTCAACAAAGCCCCACCCACTGAGTCACAGTCAGGATGCCCTTCCAGTGCAGTGTTTAAATACGCTGCACCAAAAGGGCACTGAAGAGCTATGGTGCCGGTTCTTAGAGCAGCCTTTTGCCACTGTCAAGGACAGCCAGGTGGAGGACTTGGAGGACTGTGAGGGGGAGGATGTGGGGCCTGATCCTAGCTTGGTGCTACCAGCCACCATAGACCTAGCTGAACCTGGACCTAGCTGTGTGGAACCCAGTGAGCAACAGCCCCTGCCTCAGCAGCCTAGCCTCCCTCCTCAGCAGCCTAGCCTTTCCCCAGCAGAAAGCCTTTCTCCAACAGAGGTTTCATGCCAGGAAGAAGCAGAGGAGCAAGAGATTGAAATCCCTACCTTTGCTCAGAGGAGAACAGATAGGGAGGGGCTGCGAAGTTCTCGAAGGCTAGCTGAGAAACGCGCAGCTAAAGAGAAGCACCTGGGGGGAGAGGAACTGAGGCTAGATAAGCAGCTGGGAAAAGCCA